GGTAATCAACAAAGAAAGTTTCCTTTCTTGTAGAAATCTTTCCTTGACTTTTTACGATGATGAACTAATACAATATTTTCCTTCTGTGATTGACTTCTTTCACTCAGCATAATGTCCTCCAAGTTCATCTACGTTATGTGGTGTTTTGCAGATTTTACATTATTCTTTAGGGTTGCATAGTATTCCACTGTGTGTATATACCAAACTTTGTTTATCCATTCCTCAGTTAATGGACATCTATGTTGTTTCCATCTCTTTGCTACTGTGAATAGTGCTGCGATGAACATGGGTGTGCATATATCTATTTGTGTCCTGCCTCTCACTTCTTTAGGAAATATACCTTGTAATGGGATTGCTGGACCAAATGGTATTTCTATTTCTAACTTTTTAAGGAATCACCATACCAGTTTCCACAGTGGTTGCATCATTTTACAGTCCCACTAGCAGTGTATGAGACTCCTAATCTCTCCATATCCTCGCCAGCATTTGTTATTTTCTGTCTTGTTGAACTTTGGTATTAATGCTGGGGTGAGATGGCACCTCATGGTTGTTTACACAATAAAATCTTAAAAAATAAAATAAACATGTGGATCTTAACAAGGTCCTGCTGGAGGCAACTCATTATCCAAATGAGTGGATCCAGTGGTGAGACTTCTGGCCACCTATATCAGGCTAATGGAAAGGGCTCGTGGGGGTACAGTGCCTACAATCACACCACATGTCATGTATGTGACAGCCCACTGCTTGAGTGAAGCAAACCTCCTGTGAAACCAGGCAATGTCTTACATTCAGTTCTCTTTCCTCCTTTTGCTTCCTCATTCACATCTGCAACTTACCTTCTAAAAACTTGCGGATCATAGAGTCTTTGGTGGTCCGAGAGAAGCTGTCTCCAGAGATTGGGTTAGATGTACTGGCCTGAAGCATTTCTACATCTAGAAGGGAATGGAGACTAAGAATTGATAGGCTGTTCTTCCTCACAGGCAACTGGTTAAGGAGTTTTTACAGATGGATACACAAGATATAGCAATTTCCTTAAAAGAGATTCAAGCATCCATCCATCCATTCACTCAGTAAGGGTACGGTAAAGCAGAGAAACATCCACAAC